TTTTTTTTTTTGTTGAAGGAAATGTCATTTAAAATTCTTCATAAAATTTCTCCTGCTAAGCATTATATGGCAACATTTAAAAGAGACATAAATATTAATTGCAGTTTTTGTGGTGGCCTTCCAGAAACATTTTTTTGGCACTGCCCGTTCACACGCAGGTTATAGAAGGAGTTTAGCAGGTTTATTAATAACCAGATTTTGAGGGATTTTTCTTACGTTGGGAAAATGTTTTATTGTGTTTTTGTAGATTCCACAGAAAGGATGCTAAACTTCATAAATTCATAAATGTAAATTTATTAATAAAACACCATATTTTCTTCATTTTATTAAGGATGTAGAACTATATGTTAAGGGTTAATATGTTATGGATCCTAGACTTCTTAAACTGACCTCAGTCTGTGAGGATCCACAACTTCTCCTCCACTATAACCCTCAGCACTGGCTCCCCTCAGGGCTGTGTACTGAGCCCCCTCCTGTTCACTCTGCTCACGTATGACTGTGCACCTACTCATCCAGTCACATTGTAAAGTTTACAGATGATACAGCGGTGGTTGGATGCATCAAACAAAGATGAGTTCAGCTATAGGAAGGAGGTGGAACATCTGGAGAGCTGGTGCAAAGAGAACAACCTTCACATCAATGTGAAGAAGATGAAGGAGATGATTGTGGACTTCAGAAGGAACAAACACACCTACCTCCCCCTGAACAGTGGAGAGCATCCTGTGCTCCAGCATCAACGTGTGGCATGGAGGCTGTACAGCTGCAGAAAGAAAAGCTTTGCAGAGAGTGGTGAAGGCTGCACAGAAGATGTTGGAGTCAGTCTCCCCACCATCACAGACATCTACACCTCCAGATGCAGGAAAAGGGACACTTGCATCATGAAGGACCATGCTCACCCTGCACATACACTTTTTGCCCCACTCCCCTCAGGAAGGAGGTTGAGGAGCATTAAAGGTAGAACCACTAGACTGAGGAACAGCTTCTACCCTGAGGCTGTTAGATTCATGAATCTCTAACCAGGATAATCACTGTGATCCACTTTGATTGTTGATATGTGCTGCTGATTATTAGGGGTGTAACAACATCCATTTAAATCGATATATTGATTAAATGATTAATGATTCAGTTATATTGTGGCAAAACTAAAACATTGATTCACATCGTCATCCAACAGAAAGACGGCTCAAAAGACAAAACTCGTGTCCTATGCAGCAGGTGCCAGTGTGGGTTAAAATACTCGTGTCATATGCAGCAGGTGCCAGTGTGAGTTAAAATACTCGTGTTGTATGCAACAGGTGCCAGTGTGAGTTAAAATACTTGTGTCATACGCAACAGGTGCCAGTGTGAGTTAAAATACTTGTTGTATGCAGCAGGTTCCAGTGTGAGTTAAAATACCCGTGTCGTATGCAGCAGGTGCCAGTGTGAGTTAAAATACTTGTGTCGTATGCAACAGGTGCCAGTGTGAGTTAAAATACTTGTGTCGTATGCAACAGGTGCCAGTGTGAGTTAAAATACTCGTGTTGTATGCAACAGGTGCCAATGTGAGTTAAAATACTTGTGTCGTATGCAGCAGGTGCCAGTGTGAGTTAAAATACTTGTGTCGTATGCAGCAGGTGCCAGTGTGAGTTAAAATACTTGTGTCGTATGCAGCAGGTGCCAGTGTGAGTTAAAATACTTGTGTCGTATGCAGCAGGTGCCAGTGTGAGTTAAAATACTTGTGTCGTATGCAACAGGTGCCAGTGTGGGTTAAAATACTTGTGTCATATGTAGCAGGTGCCAGTGTGAGTTAAAATACTCATGTTGTATGCAACAGGTGCCAGTGTGAGTTAAAATACTTGTGTCGTATGCAACAGGTGCCAGTGTGAGTTAAAATACTTGTGTCGTATGCAACAGGTGCCAGTGTGAGTTAAAATACTTGTTGTATGCAGCAGGTTCCAGTGTGAGTTAAAATACCCGTGTCGTATGCAGCAGGTGCCAGTGTGAGTTAAAATACTTGTGTCGTATGCAACAGGTGCCAGTGTGAGTTAAAATACTTGTGTCGTATGCAACAGGTGTCAGTGTGAGTTAAAATACTTGTGTCGTATGCAACTGGTGCCAATGTGAGTTAAAATACTCGTGTCGTATGCAGCAGGTGCCAGTGTGAGTTAAAATACTCATGTCGTATGCAGCAGGTGCCAGTGTAAGTTAAAATACTTGTGTCGTATGCAACAGGTGCCAGTGTGAGTTAAAATACTTGTGTCGTATGCAGCAGGTGTCAGTGTGAGTTAAAATACTTGTGTCCTATGCAACAGGTGCCAGTGTGAGTTAAAACACTCCTGTCGTATGCAGCAGGTGCCAGTGTGAGTTAAAATACTTGTGTCGTATGCAACATGTGCCAGTGTGAATTAAAATACTCGTGTCGTATGCAGCAGGTGCCAGTGTGAGTTAAAATACTTGTGTCGT